ATATATTGATCTAATTAGCAAGAAAGTGGGTTTCACAATGTATGAACATAAGGTAATCAAGTTGGGAAATTACTTTCCCCAAATCCTCCACAGCAGTTGCTATTTAACTGAGTTTGAACTGAATTAACCCCATGTACTTGGATCTTTTAATAGCCTTTTCAATTCCTATATAGGCAGTAGTGTAATAAAATTGCAATGTAAATTTATTCAACAGTACAAGTAATCCTTAACTTACAGCCATTCGTTTAGTGACCAAAGCTGCAATAGCTGTGAAAAAAGTGACTTATGACTGGCCCTCACTTAAAATTGTTGCAGCATCCCCAATCACGTGATCAGAATTTGGGCACTTGGCAACTGGCATGTATTTATGATGGTTGCAGCATCCCAAGTCATGTAATTGCCACCTGCATGCGACCTTCCCAGGCAGCTTCCAACAAGCAAAGTCAATGGGGGAAGCTGGATTCACTTAATGACTGCTGTGATTCCCTTAACAACTGCAGGTTGTAAAGTCAAGCATGACTCACTTAACAATTGCCTTGCTTGGCAATGGAAATTCTGATCACAATTGTGTTGCAAGTTGAGGACCACCTATATTTAACTCTGAAGATTCTGTATCAGTCACTGATCTACTGTATACAAAAAAAAGTTTATTTGGATTCTTGAACATAATTTTAAAAACAAGTCTAAATTTTGAATCAAGCGATAAGATGTTGAAAACCAGATTTCCTGCACACTAAATAATTTCTGGCAGAGAAGACTCCAGCTCCCTCTCTCATCTACTGCATGTACCTGAGCACTCACATACACACACCCTTTTCATATCAACTGTTTGCTTCTATTTGTTGTCAGAGCAACTGTCCAGTTTGGGAACCATGCATGTTTCAGAACCTCTTTGTTTCAGAGGCAACAGACTTTTGCTATGAAATGCTGTCTCTGTTGCCGCAAATAACATTCCATGGAGAATCCAAAGGCATGCAGTTAGGGGTAAAATTGAAAGCCACAGCATCAGCACAACTGCAGCTATTTCCTATATCTGAGTCTCATTTATTTATTATTTATTAAATGTATACGCCGTCACCTGATAGGGTGACTCTGGGTGGTGTATAGAACATAAAAAGATAACTAGAAAAGCCATTAAAAATTAAAAACTCTGCAAAAAACTGGAACCAAGGAGGTGGATGGAATGGGAATGAGGTCTTCTTACCAGGTCAACCACCTGGTGTTGGCCCTAGGCCAACCATCAAAACTAAGTTTTAATACCCTTCTGGAAGGCCAAAAGGCTGGGAGTAGTTTTAATAATAATAATAATAATAATAATAATAATAATAATAATAATAATAATAATAATAATAATAATAATAATAATAATAATAATAATAATAATAAAGTTGGAAAGGACCTTGGAGATCATCTAGTCCAACCCCCTGCTCAGGCAGGAAACCCTATACCATTTCAGACAAATGGCTGTCCAGTCTCTTCTTAAAAACTTCCAGTGTTGGAGCATTCACCACTTCTGGAGGCAGGTTGTTCCACTGGTTAATTGTTCTGTCAGGAAGTTTCTCCTTAGTTCTAAGTTGCTTCTCTCCTTGATCAGTTTCCATCCATTGCTTCTCGTCCTGCCTTCAGGCTCCTTGGAGAATAGCTTGACTCCCTCTTCTTTGTGGCAGCCCCTGAGATATTGGAACACTGCTATCATGTCCCCCCTCGTCCTTCTCTTCGTTAAACTAGACATTCCCAATTCCAGCAACTGTTCCTTATATGCTTTAGCCTCCAGTCCCCTAATCATCTTTGTTGCTCTTCTCTGTACTCTAGTTTCTAGAGTCTCAACATCTTTTTTACATTGTGGTGACCAAAACTGGATGCAGTGGTAGAGTATTCCACAGGATTGATGTCACAGCAGAAAAAGGCTCTTCTTTACCCCACCTGCTGGAATTCCTTAGCAGATGGAGTCTGTAGCAGGCTTCTTCTGCTGACATAAGTGGGGTGGGCTAGTCATGCTGAGGTGAGATAGCTCCTCAGATAATCTAGATTCATGCCATATAAGGGCTTTAAAGGTAATAATCAACACCTTGAACTGGATCTGGAAGCAAACTGGTAACAGTGTTATACATGCCAGCCAATGGGCCCTCAGAACTGTGTGTGTTGCTGCACTCTGCATCAGCTGTAGCTTCTAAATACTCCTCAAAGGTAGCCCCACGTAGAGAGCATTGCAGCAATCCAACTGAGAGATGAGTAGGGCATGACTGGCTGTGTGCAGAGCTTCATGATCCAGATAAGGGGCCACTGACGCACTCTTCGAGCCTGAGTTGTGAGTCCAGGAGAACTCCCAGGATATGCACCAGATCTTTCTGGAGTAGTATAACCACACTAAAAATATAGAACTAAAAATAATAAATAAACAGATCCTGAGGTCTCCTGCCCCCACAGCTATTCCATCTTGACAGGGTTCATCCAGGTCTTTACAGTCTCCAGGCACTAAGGGCAACTATAGCATCACTTGGAGCACCAAGGATAGAGATGTAAAACTATATAACATCTACATACTCATACCTCATCCCTGTGGCACTCATGAGGGAGTGGCTGTGGGCTAAACCTCTGCTCCCTATTAACACCAATTGAGACCAGTCTTGGAAAAAGGAGCCAAACCAGTGCAATACACCTCCCAGCCCCAAACCCTGCAGCTGGCCCAAGAAATTTAATCACATAATCCTTCTCTTGCTTCCATATTGCCTTGATACTAAAGTACCGTAATATTATCCTGGTAGTAAGTTAAGGTGGTGAAGAAAAGACATATTGTCCCTATTCAAAGTAGCTGCATGTTCAAAACTGTCAATCAAAATTCCTAAAGCAATTATAATAATTAAATATACTCTAAAGCCAGGCAACCCTGCTAGGATTGTTTGGTAGAAAAATATTTTTTCGTATCATTTGTAAATAAGTGGACCAATTACTTAGTGCAGGACTTCTGATCAATAAAATTTTATTAAATTTCCCTTTAAAAATGCTTATGGAATCCCTTTTATTGGACAAGAAAGTGACAAATACACTTCAAAGTAAGCAAGTCAAATGCAACTATATTGAGACAAGATGCTCAAGTTCTGCATTCATTAATGGAATCTGAACTGGTGGAAAAGACTGAGAAAAGATTTTGAGGCTGAACAATTTGCCTCACTGGCCTACGGCGCCTATGAAATAGGGATAGTTCATACAAGGGGGCAGTTAGTTATTTTATAAAAAGAACTGAAAATCAAGCAGCCAATATCAGTCTATAGTTGAATAGACTGGAATTCAGTTAACAGCTCTAGCAATATTAGCTTAACACAGACATCCTAGTAGAGGAAATTGCAGAAATACGTTATCCAACTGATCAGTTAGCAGTTGTGATAAAGTGTTTTGGATACTATAGTTCAGGAAAAAAAAGCAAACAGTGACAAAATCAGGTACAAAAGAGAGAAGGGTGTAAGTCATAAGGTAAGTACTGTAGAATTTTTCTTCCTTGCTAGTAATAAAATAAATGTAGATAATACTATGAAATTAAAAGGCAAAGGTGATAGAAAACACTTCTTTGTATAGGGCAAAACTGGCAGACAAAATTCACTGCTACGAATTGGAACTGTAGTTACAAAAGTGAATACTTATAAAAAGAGACCGGGCAATTCTCGCTGATTAGCCTTACAAAACTACTAAATTCACAGATAATCTGCTATCAGCCACAATGGAGATTGGACTAGACAGTATTTTCCATGTCACGTAAAGTTTCTTTTACCTTAATACTTGTTACTTTCAGAAGAGGCTTCAGAATATTTGAGAATTCTCCTGATCTTCTATGGCTATCCCTGTACTCTTAAGAGGCAGTTTATATCATCACAGCACTTTGCTATTTAGCTCAGGTTAGACGCTGCACAATTCAACAAACAGCCATTAACTTATATACAATACTACTAAAACTCTTGCCTCTGTTTGACATTTTGTAGCCTCCAACTGGGCAAAACGGTGCATCATAGAGCAACGATTTTTGAATCAACATACTTTAAATGGATCAACTTACAGAATGAGTCCAAAGTCTGGGATCCATGACTCCCGTGGGATTGAAATTTGACAACATTTTAGTGCCATACTTTCTGACTACACTTTCCAGGAACCTGTAGGTTGCATAGCACAGTGGCCCCCCGACCTTTTAGCCACCAGGGACTGGTTCCATGGAGAAAGTTTTTTTCGTGGACTGGAGGGGCGTGGTTTTGCGTGTTGCCTGCATCCCACGGTTGCTGGCATGCCATGGCCCGGTACTGGTCCACAGCCCAGGGATTGGGGACCCCTGGCATAGCACAAAGAAAGTTGGGAAGGGCATATACCTACTCTGTATCCAGCCTCCATCTGGCCCCTACACCCAGTTGGCTGGTAGCAAGAACTGACAGGCGACCACTGGCAGCTTTGAAACCATGGTCAAACCAAATTTTAGATCTCTTAGAGGCAATGGCTAGTAAGGGAAAAATGAGGGAGTAACGTGGATGCCTGCTGGTAAGAAAAGGCTGTTTGAGATGAGCCTTCTTCCTCCCTGAAGGGAGGGGGCCCTTGGGGACATGCCAGAATGAGAAACAGGATGCAATTTTCCTTGTGGTCCATGGCTCCCTTTCCACAACAATGTGGCAGGCAGTTCCGCAGGTCAGCTGAAGGAAGGAGGAAGGTTTGTGAATGGAGGGGAAAGGTGCAAGCCTACATTATATTTGGAAAGAGGAAGGACGAAGGAGTGACTGGGGTGTCTGGGGAGGACTGGCTGGGGTGTGCCAATGATAGTGTAACCCTTGAACCCTCTTCTTCTCTTGTGGTAGGCCCTTCCCTTTATTCTCCCTCCCCCTAGCAAAGTGACAGGCAGTTCCATGAGGAGGAGGAGGAGGAGGAAGAGGAGGCTTCTTCTCCAGAGCTCTGAAAGGTCACAAGGGGAGAGAAAACAATGCAGTCCTGCATTACATGTTGAAAGAAAAATCACCCAATCAGTCATTGGGCTGTCGAGCTGTTTCAAAAACAAAACAAATTCTCCCTTCACTCTCCCAAGTGACCTTAGCTACAGTTTTTCTGGATATCTTGGAAAAACAACTGCTGCTGAAGACTTTTTAGACTACTTAAGACATCTGCAGTGAGATGCCCACCAGAACAATATCCTTCCTGTTGGTTCTCTTCTTCCTCCTGCTCAACAGGGCTATCCGAAGGCAAAGAAGAACATCTGGAGATATAACCCTGATCTGACTGTACCGACTGTCTCTGGACTTTGCAAGCCTCGTCAAACACCAGCTGTTGCTGTTCATTAACATCTTCTTGGCAAAGTTGCTGTTCAATAACATCTTCTTGGCAAAGGGGCACATCTAAGGGGACGATACTTTGTTGATAGAGGGAATACATCAATCCCTGCAGTTGTTGCCTCACATCAGCCGGCAAGGCCTGGGGATGTGAGGATAACTCCTCTTGAAGAATGACGTTATTTCTTCTTGGGATGCTAGCTTCCATCATAGGCACACTTTCTAGCCAATCTTCATTGGTCAAAAGTTTATGACTGAGTATCTCTTTTTCTTCTGCAAGGGCAGCTGGCTCGACCACCTGAACAGAAGGTGTCTCAGCAGGAATGACCAGAGTTTGGAATGCTAGATCTTCTTGCGACAGATGCTGAGGTGTCAATTTATATGCTCCCAAGTCCTCCTCATTAACCAGAAGATTGACTAAGCAACAGCTATTGGGGTCAGGTTCCTTTGGAAGCAGTTGCTTCTTGAGAATTCCTTTCCCGGGGAATATTAATTCTTCAATGAGTTCCCCACTCAGGGATTGTAGGTCATCTTCATCCTCACAGCAGACACGTTGACTTTTAAACCAATCTGGGTGCTCAGCCTGCCATGCCTGGAATTTCTGCAAAGCCTCCTTCAGCTGTTTGCCACAGGGGCTTTCGGTGTACTTTTCAGGCGAGATGGCTGGGATCTGATGCATTCGCCCTGGCTCAAATTTTTCAAGATCCTGGATTAGAAAGTAAATTTCCTCAAATTTATCCATCAGTTGATATTTGGAGGTGACATGGAATGGGTCTGGAATGTCACTCTCGTTGCTTATGCCCTCAAAGTAGCAGATTAAATACAGTCCAAAGCAAGCTGGCTGCTTGAAGTCTGGTAAAATCAGATTCAGTGCTGGAGTGAACATGTCCCCTGTTGGTAGCAGATTATCCTGCTTCAGATGTACAGTGGATTGGTCGTGCCCAAGCATAGCCTGCCACTTGGCCCGAGTACCCCGGGAACACAAGATGATAATCTTTGAAGACAGCTCTTCCATTTTCTGTTTCTGCCGCGTAAGCCAGCACATTGTTCCCATCTCGGATATCTGATGTTCCTCTAGCAGGTCTAGGATGACCTCCGTACCACACACTGTGATCATGAACTGAGCAAATTTCAACACAACGTCTACATAGAGCTTGTGATCAGCAGAATACACAATCCAAACTGTACGTGGCTTGAGGTCTGGAGGAGGCTGCAACATAGGGGTGACGTCTGGAAAATCAAAAAGTTAAATACGGTATATATAAAAAGTGTAATATTATGGTTACTGCCGCTCCCCCCTCCCATACATGGAAAACAAGGAGTACAAGAAATAGGACTGTTACTTGTACACATTGCTGCACTTAATATTAAAACAATGTTCAAGGTCATTAGCTTCAGTTTAGCCAACTAAACTTTATCTCTAGTACCAGTGACACAGATTTTAATATGGAAGATATTTTATTTCAGAAAATAGCAATCCTTGGTGCAGAAACTTATTTCTCCTGCAAAAAAAGTTGTGTCAGAAAGTAATAGTCTTTGATATTAATATAAACATTGCCAAGCCGATATTCAGCCACAGAAATAGATGAATAGTTAATAACTCTATAAGAATTGACTTTTGTCTTTGTTTGTGTGTATGTGACTGAAAGCACACATGCAGCTTTTTTGGAAAACAAAAAGTCAATGCTGTCCCCTCTCTGAATCTAATCCATGTACTTAGATTATAAATCAATGCAGAGTCATAGAAAGTAAAAGTTCTCTTACCTTGGAGTTCAAAATCACAGTTTTTTGCTGCAGAATTTAATTCTAGGAGGGAAAGAAGAACATAGAAAACGTTAAAGAACATAACTTTGATCAAAAAAGTTCAGAGACTTTTGAAAAAGAAGGGATAACGATTCAACGACTTTCGTCCTGAGACTCAAGCGCAAGCAAAGAAAAGCAGGATCTTGAATTGGAATTTAAGTTTTCCTTGACACAACTGGGGGAACATAAATGAAAGGCTGAAACAAATGGTGTCAGATTGACCAGGAAATTAAGATGATTGGCTATAATTACGGTAACAATGGGTAGGATAAAGCCTTCCAACTAAATCACTTTGTATCAGTAGGCTTATCTAAATTTTGCCCAAAGGGGTTGAAATTGAGCATGAATTTAAGTTAACACAAATATGACAGAGCTGCTTATTTCCTCTCTTCTCTTCTTCCTTGGCAGTTTTTCCAGGCTCTATCCTGCTCCTCCCCTGTTGAATAGCATGGATTAACACAGTGTTTCTCAACCTTGACAATTTTAAGGCATGTGGACTTCAACTCCCAGAATTCCACAGCCAGCGATGCTGGCTGTGGAATTCTGGGAGTTGAAGTCCACATGCCTTAAAATTGTCAAGGTTGAGAAACACTGGATTAACAGGGGGGAAACAAAGGGCAAAGAAAGATATGCCTGAAAATTAGGCCCTGACCTGATTAGCCTCTTCCCAGCATGCAGTGCTCTACAACAGGGCTTTTCAACCAGTGGTACGGGTACCACCTGTGGTACATTGGCACCTGGCAAGCGGTACGCAACCATCCTAGAAAAGTAGCGGGGGAGGGGAATGAGCTGAACCGGTGGCAGCACCACACAAGCCTGAGCGAGAGATGGCTGGAGCTGCAGGGCTGTCAGGGCTCAGTGGAAGCGCCAGGATCAGCGGCAGGCTCCAGCTGGAGCTCGGCGCTGATCCTGGCGCTTCTGCTGACCCAGAAGAAGCACCGATCAGCTGGAATGTTGCAGCATTTCCAGGGTCTTGTGATTTACATTCAGATGCTGGGCAACTGATTCATATTTATGACGATCACAGTGTCCCAGGGTCATGTGAAGTGACCAAAACCTGCTGCAACCACCCAGCAGATGAGTGGAATAAAAACCAAACACCCCCCCACCCCACCCCCGCTGCCAATCCTCAACAGAAATGCTCACAACAATGAAAACCTCGGACAGGAGGAAGAGCGCCGCCAGGTGGGCAGGCAGGTTCTTGCTCGGCTGTGGCTTGGGGGGCACTTTTTTCAGTGCCATTTTAACTTCGAACAGTCACTAAGCGAAGTGTTGTAAGTCGAGGACTACCTGTACTTTTTTCCTTTTTTGGTCATCAAGTTTTTGACACCTTGCTTGGCGACTGGTGGTACTCGGATATTGCCATATCCTAAAAGTGGTACAATGGGTGAAAAGGCTGAAAAGCCCTGCAGTCTACAAGATTCAGCCTGTCTGCCCAAACTTGAAGTGTTTTTTTGGAGCTTCCAGGGTGAGACAATTAATGTCTGCTGCTCCTGCACAAATTTGATCCAACTCTATACCATTCCAATAAAGTTCTGAAGACAAAACACCACTTAGACCCATTTCTAGAGCCCACCTTACCTTTTTGTCTTCGAGTAAGGCAGATTGCGGAAGCAATAGCTGATCCAACTAACAAAATGCAGATGATAGTGTGGGTCCAAGGCAACCCCACTGAAAATGTATCTGAAAAATAATATTAATAAAAAGGATAGGTCGAGTCATCAAACCAGGTGATACTCTACAGAATATGTTGATACATAGGAAAGGCCACATTTTTAACAACAATGGACCACGAAATAGTAGAACAATTTATTTTATTGGTTCTGCACAGAAGCTATTGTGATATTTAATATTTCAAATTCCAATCTTCAGCTTAATGCACTCTCCAAAACAATGTGGTATAACAGAGGGCACATGTAAGTGTGGTCAGGCATCACACAAATTATTACTGTATCCACAAAAACTTTAACTTTCAAAAGAAAGTTCCTTTTGAGAGTAGAGTAAGCTCCTGCAATAATTTTTTTCTTGATTCTGCTCAGGCCATTCAACCCCAAGTCCACATTTTGTGGTACAAAAGCAACAACAGTATCAAGTTTACATCTTTCTGGGAGAAATGACAATTTGTACCCCTTCAGTTGTTAACCTTAAACTATACTCATGGGGGTTGCTAAACTGTGGGAAACTCTTTTAGGAAAAAAGGGGAGGGAATTTGCTAAATCATCCAGATATTGCACTTCCTTCATCCTCAGAAGTTTAGATATATTTCTGTACATTAAAATACATGAACTAGGGGAGAATCACCAGTTCTTAAGCTCTTGTTCTATAGAAAAACTGACTCTTTTCTAACTACATCAGATCACTTTAAGAGTATATATGCACCATTAGTTCCGGAATGATCAACAACACTTAAAACATCAGCAGAAGAACACGGGATTAAAAACGGCTGCCTCGTACAGTCTGTAGCACAGGCAGGAAAGATTGGCTGGATCTGGAGAAAAAAGAAAAGCGAGGGTAATTATAGCAATTAGTTCAGTGCTCAATCAGCCACCAGATTTAAAGAGTTAAAGAAAAAAATAGCTTATGTAGGGCTACTATTTTCTCTTGGATACATTACATAAATAAAAGATAATATATTATACATTATTAGACAATACAATGTACAATAATATATTAACATAATGTGATTATACTACTATACAGTATAATGTACTATATTATTATATACAATATACTATTAATATAGTATATTAACAATATACTATATATAATAATATAAGTAAACTTTATTTTTTTTATTTTTTTTGTCCCATCAAGTCAGTTTTGGATGCTGGTGATTGCTTGGACAGGTCTCTGCAGTTTTCTTGGCAAGATTTTGAAAGTAGTTTGCCACTGCCTGCTTCTTCCTAGGGCTGAGAGAGGGACTGACCAAGTTCACCCAGCTGTCTTTGTGCGCAAGGCGGGACTAGAACTCAAGTCTCCTGATTTCTACCCTGGTGCCTTAACTGCTACATCAAATCTGCTCTCAATATAGATAATATAATATTATTATTGATGATGATTTCTGAATATAAACTTGTAAAGATAACAGACCAAATGTAACTGTAGTTGGAAAAAAAGAAAATGTGGATAATTGATGTGACAATACCAGGGGATTGTAGAACAGAACAGAAAGAATTTGAAGAAGATCACAAAGTATCAAGGTTTGAAAATTGAAAGATTATGGTATAAACTGGCTGTGGTTCTCCCGGTGGTTATCGGCACATTGGATGCCATACCCAAAAAAATCTTACATAGCAGTTAGAAAATCTGTACATTGACAAAAATTTTCACTTGTCAATTACCAAAGGCCACGCTGCCTGTTTCTGCACATATACTATACTGATACATTAGGATTATCCTAGGTTCTTGGGAATAACTTGATGTATATGAAGGCCAATCATAAGCTTAAGAACTGACAACTGTGACTTCACATTGATGTGAACAGATAATAAAAATAGTTCTCGAGGTACAATTGCAATTGAGCACTGTAAAACTCATTATTTGGGATGGGGTGATTTTTGCCAGAACTGTAAATAAACACCGGTTTCTGGAAAAATGTGGTAAATGGTCACATGACTGCAGGTGTGCTGCAAACAGCTGTAAATGTGGGCTGGTTTTGAGTGTCTAAGATATTGTAATTTTGAACTGTTGTTAAGCGATCACTTGTAAGTCAAGGACTACTTGTATTCAGAAAAACTAGGCCAAAATCCATAGCAATGTTGCTACATATATTCAAGATAAAACGGTTAAACTTAACAATTTACTAAACTTACAGTTAACTGAATGTGTTGTGTTCATAACCCTGTCTTCATAATAATCAAAGTTTTTAAAAAAGCGGGCAACATTTCTGGGACGATGGGCAGGTTTGGAATTTTAGTAAGATGAATGTTATCCCAAAACAGCTGGAATGACATGCATGGCTGATCATGAAATTCATATCTATCAGAAGGCAAATAGATGAGATTGTTCCCCATATCTCCTCTGGCTAGGACCCACTTAATTATCCTATCTGACCTCTGTTTTCTTACTCGGTGGGTGGGCAACTGTCAAACAAAGCACTGGAGTACAACCCCCTCCCTTTATTTTCTAAATATACATATGGGACTATCATATTTTGGGAGGTGAAGGTGAAGAGGTACCTCATGATCTTGGAGGTAAAGCTAATGTTGGGAAATGCCTAGCCAGTCAGAGAGGAGGGATCAAGCAGGGAATTAGCCTTCAATCTTTGTGTAGCCATAAGAGATCCAGGACTTGGCTATCTGTTCCCAAGGGAAGGCAAGCAGTTTGGGAGATTCCTGTATTATAGGCAGAATCTAATAAAATAGTTAGCTTGACTCTTATTTTGTAGATCTGATTACTTGCGCCTGACAGCTGGCTTCCTAATGTCTATCTAGACACATGCTGATTCTTTGACAACAAAATAGAAATGGCTTTTAAAAATCCTTAAAAAAATCAACTTTCTGTAAGTTTTTTAAAAAATCCCAGAATGTCGTCTTCGTTGAGGTTCGACCATACTTAGCATCTAGATGCAGACAAAGTCCTGCAGAGTTAATGCTAAATTAAAGACTGACACTTTGAATTTAAAAAAAAAACCCTAAAAAAGTGATCTGGCATATGCCAAGAGAAATATCCATAGGCACATTGATGTTCATGAGCCCTATATTGCTACTCCTAGCTAAGAGTGAAGCAGATGTTGTCTGAAGCAAAGAGCATGCATGGAGCTGATTTCCCTTAATTCAGTTCTGAAATGAAAGGACTCTTTTTTCCTTTTGATGTTTCTTTTCCAGTTTCTACCACTTCAAAGGAACATTCCTTACTTTAAAAGACTGCAGATGCCTAAAGAACGAAAAGGAGAGAGATCGCTAAAATAAGTGAACCAACACTGTCATCTCTGTTGCCGCATGTTAACAATTCAGGATTCTGTCAGCTAATTCACGACCACCCAAACCCTGAAGTTTTGGCAGGTGAGTTGAAAAGCTAAGCAGTACAGGGCCTACCCAGTGTTTGGATGGGAGATTATTGGGAAATCCCAGGACTGGAGATAAAATGGGGAAGTCAAAACATCCCAGAAGAAAGCAAACCCATTTTTTTTTACTGTTGTTTTATGGATGTGTCTATTTGGTCATCAGAAGCCGAGCTTGACTTCTGGAGAACATCCTTAGCTCTAGTTTTCTCCCTCCCATCCCCACCAAGGTAGTCCTCGATTTACAGTATGAGCACAATTGAGCCTAAAATTTCTGTTGTTGAGCAACATGGTGGTTAAATGAGTTTTGTCCCATTTTACGATCTTTCTTGCTATAGTTGTTTAGTAAACCATGCAGTCATTAAACAAATCTGGCTTCCCCCATTGACTTCGCTTGTTGGAAGCCAGCTGGGAAGATCACAAATGATGATCACATGGCCCCCTGGAGAGGATACTGCCTATAAGTGCTATGTGCTTAGAGCTTGAAGCATCGTTAGAGACTCCACATACCCAATTCACAGCCTGTTTCTGTTGCTCCCCTCTAGAAGGAGGTTTTGAAGTATTTATAGCAGAACTACTAGATTCTGTTAACAGCTTTGTTTCTTATGCCAGAGAACACCAACCTTTTTGGTTTGGTGGCCCAGAAAGGGAGGCAGGCACTGTTATGACACGCACTCACACACAAATGGGCCATGCGCAAGTGCACATGCACATGCAAACAGGCAGCGCATGCACACATGGGCCACATGAGCATGAGTGCCATAAATGGGGCGGCGCTAGCGCCAGTGGGATGCTCAGGACGGTACTAGCGCTGATGGGACACTTGGGGCGGTGCTAGTGCCGGTAGGATGTTCAGGGGCAGGGCGGTGCTAGCACTGGCGGGATGCTCAGAGCAGTGGTAGTGCCAGTGGGATGCTCGGAGCGGTGCTAGTGCTGGTGAAATGTTTTGGGCGGAGCGATACTAGCACTGGCAAAACGTTTGGAGGCGGTGCAGTGCTAGCACCATCGGGATGCTCGGAGCAGTGCTAGTGCCGGTGGGACGCTCAGGGGCAGAGTGGCGCTAATGCCGGTGGGATGCTCGGAGCAGTGCTAGTGCTGGCAGGATGCTCAGAGCAATGCTAGTGCTGGTGGGATGTTCGGGGTGGGGCGATGCTAGTACTGGTGGGATGCGCAGGGTGGTGCTAGTGTGAGTGTGGGGAATGAGTGCACACACACACGTGTGTGCACTGGCCATCCGTTCACATGGCCCGGTGGCCAAGATGCCATGGCCCAGTAGTAGGCGCGGCCCACAGGTTGGAGACCCCTGCCTTATGCCATCCCTCTGGTAAACTCGCAAGATTCGTTTTTCTAGCCATGTATATGTATACATTTGGACTAGATTGTGATGTTTTTCTGTCATATATGTGTGTGTGTATTTGGGTATATGCATAATGGTATTTTTTTGAGAGCTGAATGCAATGAAAATTCATTTTAATGTATGCTGATTAGTGCACATTTAAAATGACAATAACGATTCTCTTCTCTTCTCTTCTATTCACATGGCCCCTGGACAGTGCAACTGTTATAAATACATGCCAGTTGCCAAGCACCCAAATTGCGATCACGTAACCACTCAGATGCTTCAATAATCATGTGAAAACTAGTCATAAGTCACTTTTTTCAGTGCTGTTGTAACTTTGGTCACTAAACAAATGTTTGTAAATCAAGGTCAACCTGTAACTGAATGTGACTATTAACATGGAAGAAATCATTGTTTTATCAGAAGCTAATAAAGCTAAACCTACCTCCACTTTGTATTTGCAACAAATCTTCAAGTTCCTTTCCAGCTTGACTGTGACATTAAGGCGCTGCTGCAGACCCTTCTGTGGAAACCAAGAGGCACAGTTGAGACAGGACCAGCAACAGCGGTGTGATTAATCTAAAACAGGGGTGTCAAACTCGTAAGTCACACGAAGCGATATATCGTGACTTTTTTTTCCATTGCTGGCAATGGGGTGGGCGCAGTTTCACTATGATGTATCCGGCCCGTGGGCCGGCAGTTTGACACCCCTGATCTAAAATATTGTACCTATGGAGTAACTAAGCAGGCTCAGAAATAGAAATCAAGGGGCAATTGCATTTTATCATAAAGCAGTGAATGGATTCAGGACAGCTCCCATGTGAATGTGAGTGGCAGCTGTCGTAATTGTGATGCACTTGTGCATTTTTCAGTAGCTATGCCAACATGAAATCAAGTAGCATAGCATAATCTGGAGTGGCTGATCAGACTTCACATACAAGCATGCAGTTGTGTGACTAGTGTTCTGCTGCTGAAAAAGCAAGAAATTGCAGCTTCTTCTATTCCATTATTCTGAAATAGTTTCTTCTTTTCCAATAAACAGCAAAAAAAAATTCCTTGCTTGCTTGAAAGCAGTTCTGGTTTAAAGGCATATTAAGTAAGCAGATTTTTGTCCAGCACACCATTCAAACCACTTTGAAAAAAAAAATCCCTTAACCTAGGAAATAAAAGCAGCATAAAATTCTAGATTCTGACATGGTGGAAATGCAAAAGCTGTCTCAATCTCATAAATAAGCAGGTGTCTAACTCTCACAATCTACAATTTATGTGGGATTCACATTTTGTAGTAAACAATGCTTTTTAAAAAGACTCAAATTCCAGACATGCTAGTTGTTGGTTTTTTATTACTGGGAAGAGGAGAGTTCTGATGGATTGGCAAGTAATGGATTGGCAAGTAATGAGGAATTGCTAAAGTAAAATTAAATGCCTGGAGGAGAAAATACAGTGGAGCAAAACTGATTACCTCTGAAATGCTTTCCGTGACCTTCTTGCACTCCTTTTCATCCTCCCGAACACTGATTACATGGATAAAATAGGTGGCTGCCATCTCTGCGGGGTCAAAGCTCAGCAACACAGAATGATCATCTAGACTTGTTCCATTAATTCTGGGTTCCCACAAACTCCCTAAGTGCAGAAAACTCATCAATGACATCAAATGGCATTGCTTAGGGATGCACCCAAACACCTGAAAAAAACATACCTATTCGGACACACGGTTCCGTTCTTTTCATGGTAGGATGTGTGCAATCTGCAATGAAAAAAACAAACAAACAAACCCAGAAAGATTGCATCTGTGTTCTGAAAGACAATACCGGTTAAACTGACCACTTCAATTTGCAAGTAGCCTAAAAAAAAACTATGCTCAAATGTAAGCCAACTATGAAAAGATTATTGGGCTAAAACTATTAGTTTTACATCATTAGAAAAAAAAACTGCATTAGAGTTATGGAAGATGTAATTTTTTAAAGAAAGCACATTTCAGATAGCTTCTACAAAGTTCCTTTGCATCATCTAGCAACTTCCACAAACATCTACCAATGTACTAGAGGCCTTTATAGCCCTGCTTGGCACCCCGGGTTCCAGTGCTATTGTGGATTCAGATAAGCCAGTCTTAGTGTAGCTAGAGGAAGTTTAAGAACTATGGATGTGCAGAGACAAAATGGCAGTGGTGACAATACCACTGTTGCCTCTACTCCCTTCCTTCACAGGCTTCCCAGCTGAGTGGCTTTAAATGCCATGTGTTGGAGGTATTCTGAAAGAAGTGGCAGGAATCTTTTATCTGGTTCCACTCTGCTCAGAACCAGTTCATTCTCCATTCCCCTTTTATTTTTTTTTATTTTTCCTCGATGTGTTTACTTTAAGCACTGCAAACCGCAACTTTGAATGTGCAACTTTCGCACTATGTACTGTAGACTTTGTTTATCAGTAAATTCTTCTTCATATTCTGGAAATGCAGGATATCCTAGTGTCAATTGGCACAACTAAGGATTCTTCATTTACATCTCTTTCAATTCCATTTTTCAAAATTCTTTCAGACAAGCCTCTGCTTGTCTATATTTTTTTTCCAAGCAGATAGGTGCCAACCACCTAAATTTTGATCATGTGACAAGAGTGGTGGGATTCAGATATGTGAACAACTGGATCTCTGTGTGGATGCCACTTCTGGAAGTCCATTCTGGGCCTGGGCAACAAAAAATTAGCTTCTGGTTCTGCCAAACTGGTGGGAACCGGCTGAATTCCACCACTGATGTGACCACAAGGGTGCTGCAATGGCTGTAACTTGGTGGTCTGGATGTAAGGATCATTATTTCAATGCTGCTGTAACTTTGAACAGTTGCTGAATAAATGGTCGTTAACTGAGGATCTGTATAGTTGTTGAGGCCCCCATAATGGTTACCCATTGCTTACCACCTTCCAGATCAAGTATTGAAATGTACTACAGTATATAGGGCTGCCTTTAAAGACTATGCAGAAGATGCAGTTGGACAGAATGCAGCGATCTGCTTCTTAACATGTTGGCCATATAACACTGGCTCTGTGAGCACCCATTAACTTCCGTTAAGCTTCCTGGTACTATTCAAAGTGCTGTTTTGATATATAAAACCCATTATGGCTTAAAAACCAGATATTTTCATGACTGCCACCTTCAGGTAGAATCAAGCTATCTGGGGCTTTCATCCTGAACCAGGGGGTTGAGACTCATCCCCATCAAGTTGGGAGTTGATGTCCACACATTTTAAAGTAGCCAAAGTTGGGAAGCGCTGATCTAGGAGTGGATTATCAATAAAAAAAATCTGTAAATAAATATATCATAAACGTGTCCCTTACTTGGTACTGTGAATGGCTTTGATCTCCTGTTATAGTCCCCTGCAGTACTTAATTTGGGCAAATGATAGACAGTTACTTGGTACATTTGGCCTGGTTGCACCTCAAAACGGTTGAAAGAGAAATTCCACTGAAACAATATAAGGAGAAATCTTTTAACAAACATGCAGTGAGTCAATGAAGTGACTTATAACACCGAACCTGTATGAAATTCTGTACTAGGAGAAAGAAAAGAAAATTCACAAGCCAGAACTATATGAGCACTTAGGCAGAGCAATTCATTTTGTTCAGATCTAGTTATCTGGATTTGAATGATCCCTGTTTCATTTTCCCTGATTTGGAGAAAGAAAAGTAAGGAGTTCTTTCTCCATATCCGCATAGAAATTCATTCCTTTCACCAAATGTGGAAATATAACATATTCTAACACAGGTACTTTTTCTTCTGCTTTCCTGTAATGAAAGGGAAAAGAGGATTCTCTTCACAATGCGGGAATCTTGTAAACATGAATTCATATTATTTTATGTACAAGATACCTAATACAGCTCTATCCTAAACAAATGTTAGCTTTTAAAAATAGTCTAGGACAGGGGTAGGCAACCTTGGCTCTTTTATGACTCGTGGACTTCAACTCCCAGAATTCCTGAGCCAGCCTATAACATCTTTTAATCCATTATTTAACATCACAGTTTTCTCACTGTCCATTGTGTTATATCAGAAATATGGGAGAGTGAATTTACTTCCTAGACCAGGGGTCCCCAAAGCTCCATTTGCGCAAGCGGCAGGGGTGTGCTTTGCACAGGAGTGCACACATCTGCTATTCATGTAAGTGGAGCTGCGTGCCCGCCATACTCTCATCCGCTGTTTGTGTGGCCTGGTTCTGAATGGGCTGTGGCCTGGGGGTTGGGGACCCCTGGTCTAGGAAGTAAATTCACTCTCTTTCCCATATTTCTGATATAACACAATGGACAGTGAGAAAACTGTGATGTTAAATAATGGATTAAAAGATGTTATAGGCTGGCAACTGGAGTCATGGGAGAGAAAAGCATTCTGGGGCAATCAAGTGTATTTGCTTCCCATGAATGTTTTTCAGTCTGTGACCTCTTATTCCAGGACATCTAGAAATATTCAGCCAATGCTGTTAAAAGAGAAGTTGCAGCACTGTGTTCTACACCTCCTTAAGTTGAGGAACACAACATAGTTGGTGGTTTTACATCAAGCAGAAATGGGAGCAGCAATAACCAAATGTATAACTGTAGCTGTTTCCCTGCTTATAGCCTGGCCTTTTCTCATCCCTTCTCCTGGAACAGGTCATTTTCATTTTTTTTGTGCTGCAGCATAAATCATATAATTATTCCAACACTAGCATTTCACACACAGTAGAGACTATACCAAGTCATCTAAGCTTGCTGTATGTAACAGATCATGTTCTTAATTACAAGGCTTTTCTTAAGCACCAGGTTATTCTTTGGCTAGCAAATGTCATACTTTATATAGCAAATATACTGTTACTTATTTATTTACTTTACTAAATGCACCAGGCTGCCCAACTCCATTACAATTCTGTTGGATTCTGAGAAGGCAAAATATAAATTTGTAAAACATTCATGATCGCTTACCCGGCCCCCATTGTCTGGACGGACTTGGAACGTCAAGTTATTTTGAAAGTCAAATTGAGCGCAAACCTGCCGGTTACTGCTTAATTGTACTACAGCCAATTCCACTCCTCTGAGGTATATGATGCTTGCTATTGTTGAAGAGAAGGGAAGACATAAAAACATTGGTAAAGAGTTCTCTCTTTGTATCCTCTGGTTATGCTGCAAGCTAAACCATAAGAAGATTTATAATTTACAAACAGCATGCAGGTGGTCAGGACAAGTTTTTTAAAAAGCATTCCTTCCACCACCATCACCCCAATTGTGCAAAATTAAGTTATAGTGTTCAGTCCAGGAAATGGAGAATCATGGGTTACAAAGATTAATGATCACAGTCAGCATAAAGCAACAAAGACTTGTTCAAACATTTTGATTTTATTCTATGAAAAAACCCAATACATACTGACATGCTATAACACACATGTCAAACACAAGGCTCGGGGGCCGGATGCGGCCCGCGACGTGGTTTCATGTGGCCCGTGAAGCCATCCTGGAAACAGTGAGGGAATGGCCCCTGCTGCCTTGGCCCTGGCCCAGGCCAGCCGGGAGCCAATGTACAATTTTGTGGTGGCCATCTATGCTGAAACGCATTCAGTCTTAGCTCCACAAGGCCGTCTGGAAACAGCGAGGAACCAGCCCCTGCCACGTCAGCTCCGTCCCCTGGGTGCATGCTGGGGAGGTGTCACCCTTTGTAAGGAATAAAGAAATGCACCATCGCCTGGAAGTGGCTAGCAAATGGCCCTCGCCTACTTCACATATCCATCTTGATGGGCTTCGGGGGAGGGGTTTCAGCAGGCTCTTCCAGTGGACCATGCCTTGGCACTTGCCCTGGTCCCACCCCCTTCTGCCAGAGACCCTCAGATTTGTCCCACTCCTGCCTAGGCCCCCACAGGCACCCTTGACACGAATGATGTAGAGCTGGCCACGCCCACCCAGTAGGCCACACCCACTCCAGCCATGCCCACGCAGTAGGCCATGCCCACCCTGGCCACACCTACCCAGCCCCCTGAGGACAACCGCAATGCTGATGCGGCCCTCAATGAAATTGAGTTTGACACCCCTGTGCTATATTGTCATTTTAATATTTATCCCCAAATTACTCTAAATTTTTACATTTTTATTCTGAATTGTTGTTATCCGAAAGGAAAACTACCTACTCCCCAATAATTTACCTTTAAAATTGGAGGGTACCTTGGATTCACCACAAACATAATAATACAGACAGATTAATTTTTTTCTCTATTTTTTTAAGTAAGTGTTTTAAAATCAGGGTTAGTTTCTTTTGAATAACTTTTGAATACATTTTTAAAAACATCACCGGTTCATATTGTTACTAACCTCCTAAAATTAGCCTCTAAAACATGGTGGAGATAGTTCTGGCTATTATAACTTGTTTAATAGATAATACAACCTTTTTTACACGCCGTAACAGCGGAGTTCTATACCGATTTTTTCCTCACTTACCATCAGTAGCCACTTTCCACTCTATCTTCAGCACAGGGACCAATTTCCCATCTTCAGCAAAAAATGTATCAATAAATACATCAACAGAACTTGGGGCTGAAGGAGTCCATTTCCGAGGAAGGAACCAGCTCTCATCCACACAGTAACCTACAAGTTTGACGGAAATTAATTCAGTCCCACTTTTGAGATAGCAACTGATTTTCCTTTGGACTATAACTTCTAGCTGTGATGCCTCCTCTCAACCTTTCAGTGCAGCACAAGCTGTCAAATATTATCTGCTGCATTACAACGCTCTTTAGAAAAGCTAAGAAAAACAGAATTAAAGGATGAACCAAAGTGAGCTTACACATATATTAGTGTCCACACTGAATAGTCAATACTCCACGTAAGCTCCTATGCTTCTTTGCAAAATGTGCTTTCTAATATTGACTAAACCTCTCACCTTCTACCAGGGTTCCCTAAATTATCTCCAGATGTGCATTTCCTAGAATTTCTTAGCCAATTCTGGTAACTCTGCAAGATACCAGGTTGAGAAAGGCTATTCTAAAAGATACAGATAAAAATAGGTATGATGAGATGTGTGTTAGATGTAGCTGGACACATGTTATTTAGAGTAAGAATTCCATAGTAGGGTATACTGTAAAATGGATTGTTTAGATTGCAGTGTTTCTCAACCTTGACAATTTTAAGGCATGTGGACTTCAACTCCCAGAATTCCACAGCCAGCAATGCTGGCTGTGGAATTCTGGGAGTTGAAGTCCACATGCCTTAAAATTGTCAAGGTTGAGAAACACTGATTTAGAGTATTGTTACATTTCATTCCTGATAAAAAGGAGCACTTTGGGTTAATTTTTGGAAAAACAAGCTTATTATATATTTCTTGATTTAGAGAAAGCATATGATAAATGGAATAGGATTAAGTTACGGAACATTTTACGTGGATATGGAGTTGGAATTTTGATAGCTCCAGGTATTACTGATAGCTCCAGGTATTACTGATAGCTCCAGGTATTACTGAGACCTGGCTGGGCGTAGAAGGTGGAGTTCCACTAGTTGACATCTGCCCGCCGGGTTTTCAGGCATTCCATCGGCCAAGGACCCGGGGTAGGGGCGGGGGGGTAGCGGCTATAATAAGGGAGGACCTTTGTCCAAGGGAGACCACTGTGCCTCAGATAGACGGCGTGGAGTCGCTCTTTGTGAAGTG